GAGTACACAGTTCCTCTGGTGTGGGACTCTGTGAGAGGGCCCAGAGCCCTCTGGCATGCAATTCACTCTGTGGCCCCAGCACCAAGGCAGGATGGTGCCCTAGGTCTCTTTGGCAGCACAGTTGCAGTGTGGTCCTGTGACCTGTGGCTGGGCACACCAGTTTGCACCAGCAGCTCTGACCTGGGCCGGGGTAGGACGTGTGCCAGGGAGACAGCTCTATACTGGGACCAGGGATGGAGCAGGGTGTGGGGTACCCCTGGCTTGCACTTACAGCGTGGGGACCTGAAACATGGGTTTGGGCTCTGAGGTGGAAGTACTGTAACAGTGGTTATAACTATATTTATTGTGGCTTTCCTCTTTAAGTATCTATTTTATTGATGAATAGTGGGTATTCAGACAGAGAGGAGTCATCTCTAATTTTTTTTTATCTTAGCTAGGAAAGAAGTCGGTTATTTACTTTGTAAAATGTTAAAGAAATGTTGAGGGATTTCCTTTTTAAATGGTTGATAGTTTTCAATGTATACTGGTCATTTATAATTTGTAATCTAAGGGCTTCATGAGATGTTATATTAAATTTGCAGATTAACTCTTCCTGGGAGAATTGTAGAAAATGGAAGTGAAAAAGGGTCCTATGATGCAGATAAAGGTATTTACTTTGGAAATTTTGTTAGTTTTGTTCTTTGGATTCTTCATGTTAAAGTAACTATGTAAAAATCTTTCAAGACTAGAGGCCTGATGCATGAAATAAGTGCAAGAGTAGGCCCTCGCAGCCCTGGCTTCGTCGGGAAGGTCATCTGGAAGGTCATCTGCATGGTGGTTCCGCTGTTTGGCCATTTGGTCGATTTGCATATTATGCTTTTATTATTATAGACTAGTGGCCTGGTGCACGAAATTCTTGCGGGGGGGAGGGGGGTTTGTCCCTCAGCCCGGCCTTCACCCTCTCCAATCTGGGACCCCTCGGGGATCGGGCCTAAACCGGCAGTTGGACATCCCTCTCGCAATCCGGGACCGCTGGCTCCTAACCGCTTGCCTGCCTGCCTGATCACCCCTAACCACTCTGACTGCTGGCCTGCTCACCCCCAGCTTCCCCCCTTTCTGGCCTGATCCCCCCTAACTGCCAGCACCTGGCTGGCCTGATCGCCTTCAACTGCCCCCCCTGCTGGTCTGATCGCCCCCAACTGCCCCCCCTGCCGGCCTGCTCGCCCCCAACTGTGCCCCCCTGCCGGCCTGCTCACCCCCAACTGCCCCCGCCTGCCGGCCTGCTCGCCCCCAACTGTACCCCCCTGCCGGCCTGCTTGCCCCCAACTGCGCCCCCCTGCCGGCCTGATGGCCCCCAACTGCCCTCCCCCGTCGGCCTGATCGCCCTTAACCGCCTCTGACTCAGCCTCGCCATTATGGCTTTGTCTGGAAAGACGTCCGGAAGGTCTCCCAGAAGGTCTCCTGGTCTAATTAGCATATTATTCTTTTATTAGTATAGATACTGTGAGAACCTTTTAGGTGTATTGCAAGTGCAGTCTGTCCCTATCACTAAAGTTTTTCAGTGTCCAGTGCTATTATTCATGGATTTCTTAAAAATGACAATTTTTTTAGTCTTTGAAAGTATTTCACAGTATTCTTCACCATAAACTTAACACTCTGCTTGTGTGAGACAATAGACAACATAGATGATTTTAGCTGTGAATCAAATCTTTCTTATACAATTTCAAACTTAAAATTTAATTATATGTAGATGAGAAAGAAGCTGTTCATAGGTGGCATTTAAAGGCTGACAGAATTTTCTTCTTGTGAATGATAAGTCGTTCACTTCAGCTAGCTATGAAACTATTTTTTCTCTTTATATAAGCCCCTGTAGTTTGTTACTGGATAGGAATAAGAATACACTGTGTGCTCTTATGTAATTTACCCAGTGAGTATTTATCTATTGGCCTTCATGAACTATGGAGAGGGAGGAAAGATGGGATGACAGCGTTAAGTGAGAAAGTTCTATCCAATAGTTTAATGTAATTAATGTGACAACGAAGTATAATGAAACTGCCTTCCTAGGTTTAAATCTGCTTTTAATTGCATATAAGTTGTACTACATTTTTAAAGGACACAGAACTTT